GTCAATATGTGGCCTCTTTGCAAAAATATGAAGTTTTCTTTCTGATCTCCTTCATTAAAACCAAGGAGGCAACCAGAACGAAGCAATCAGCCATGAGAAACCTACAAGGTTCTTCCTGAAAAGTTAAAAAGGACAGCTCAGGACAGATGAGAAGCGTGGCTGTTTTAGATGTAAGAACTGACTGGTGAAAAACGCTTTAGATGTGGTTTGGTTTTCGAAACATGCAAAACTACTGAAAGAACAGAACATTTAGTCATCTTGTCCCCGCTTTCATCAAGCAGTCTTGTGGATATTTGATGTTATGCCTCACTTATTTTTATTATTACCATATTTAGGGGAAAATGAAGCAGGTTCCAGTAAGAAACTGAGTGTTTTACTGTGATTTTAAACCCTATTACATGTTTTTGTACTTGAAAAAAAAAAGCACTTGCTGAGAAGAAGCTTCTTGAGGACAGCAAGAAGTAAAAGAGGGACGGTGCACAGCAAGATATATGCCTGGTAAATCATCAAAATTAAAGTATACGCCTGTAAAATGTGTGTGGTTAGCAAAGGCAGGGCGGTTAAATACAGTAGAGGCTGAGCTGAGCAATGACCTCGTTCCAGTTAAGTGCTCTTGAAAAAGGCTAGTCAGCCAAGTGTTAAGAGCAAGCGGCATACGCCGTCTGACTCAAATCACGTCTCATCAGAGGTGCCGCGCCTCACGACCACAGGGCAACACCACCGTTTTTAACCTCTGAGCCCATCCGACTGCTGATCTCCACCCTCCTGCAGCAACAGCCAGAAGCTTGCAGGGTCTCAGCTGGTAAGCACCTGTAAGGCACCGGGGGTCACGCGTCACTGGAAGAGCTCAAAATAAGCACTTGTTGTGATACTGATGTAGCTGTAGGATCAGTATTTAATTCAGTCATGTTTATTTAATTAAGAAAATTTGCCAAATGTTAAAATTAAGACCAGTGACAGATGAAGCAAACAACACCAGTAGGGCCAATTTTTTTTTTGTCAAAGTGAATGAGTTAAAAGCAGGTGAAAATGTAAAGATTTGAGTAAATTTGCTAAGGACCAAGTTGTGTTCTGTGGGGTGAGCCATGTCTGCAGTGGTCAGTTTCTATCAAAAGGTTTGGAACAACGATCAGAAGGAGTTTCTCAGATTCCTGAAGAGGTTAATGCTGCTTCTCATAGCAGTACTAAAAAAAATAATACTGCTATACAATAAAAAAATAGAAAAATAAGGTACTACAAAAATGTTACATCAACAAACTAATGCTCTCCCTACCATTATGCAAGCAGGTGACAAAGTACACAACCAGGACATTTTCCTCCCTAAAGAGTTCTTGAAGTACATAAAGTACAGTTAGCAAACTTTAACTTTAAAGAGATTTACAAAATATATTTTAAACATTAACCATGTTTCTTTGTTTTTAAGGGAATATCTTAAATATTCAAAAGAAAATAAAGCTTGAGAGAATGAAATTCCTCAGTGCAATGATGCTTGACATGCTTCTGGCTGGAGTTTGCAAACGAGCCAATCCATAATCGCCATGATGATTGGAAGACCACAAACATTAGCTTCTGTTTTAATGCTAGTACAGTTCCCATTGTGCATGTTTAGGTATTTCTGGTGTTTAAACTGTTAAAATAATTAGAGTTTTTTTTAGAGAACCTCAGGTATTTGTGTATTTCAGCTATTCATGGGTAGTAGCGACCTCTAGCCCTACATAGTGCGAGTTCATTGCACATACATTTTGCATTTAAGCCTCAAACAAAAATCATTAGGAAGCCTTAATCCGATCCCCAAAAGTCGTAGATCGGATGTTCTGAAATTTTTTTTGCGTGCCACTGAAGGAACATCACATCAGCCTCCATCAGGGATTCAAATGAGACAGATAAACCCAAATTCACCCCTTTCCAAAACACTTCTAACCTGAAAGCCTAAAGTATGCGACTACAGTGCATGAAGAGGAGCCCAAACAAAGGTTCTGGGAATAAAAAGAAAAGAAGAATCAGAACGAAGAGGATGGGGAGAAGGACGGGAGCTTTCTAGCTATGAAAAATATCATCCGTTTTCATAAAGTGGCCCTAATCCCCTCCTAACTCTATTACATGTGGGACGCGTTCCTTATGAAGGTGCAGATGAGCTTAACAACAGAGAGAGAGGGAGGGGGAGGGAGCCCATCTCTTAATAGCAGCGCATTGTCGGGATTCTTTAACTCAATTATCAATAAACACAAAAAAGGTCTAGCGAATGCATTTTGTGGGGAGAAACAATTTTAATTTCAGATATGAGTCCAGACTGAAACTGGGACACTGGAAGCTTTGATGTCTTAATTGTGGATATGTGTGTGTGTGTGCGTGCGCGTGTGTGTGTGTTGTTAATGCCAAGGAGCCTTTTTGATGGAACACAAGAGACAGACTAGGAAAAAATGGGAAAATTGAAACGATGTGACAAAAAAAAAGAAATAACAAAAAAGGCAAATGGGAGAAAAGAGGCTAGACAAAAAAAAAAAAAAAAGAGAGAGAACCAGTGGGAGAAAGTGACATGGATGCTTTAGTAATAATAGCACAGAGCTGAAGCTGGTGTTTTTGAATAGGCCTTGATTGACTCTGCCACGGGGTCAAAGCGGGGCCTCAGTGGAAAATTGTATAATGGTGTATGCGTCTGAGTGTGCAAGTCTTGAGGGTCTCTGATTTGCACTTATGGGATGTTTGAGTGCAGTTTGTAAGACATGAAACATGGCCTGTTTGTCTGCTTGGTTTACAGGGCAGCTGTGTTGGCCTGTGATTTAGGAAAACCATAGTGGTGGCTGCTAAACATTGATCTTTCTGGTTTGCAAGGTGTAATTAAACTCAAAACAAGCTAAAGGCAAGTATTTTAAGATAACATGCTTTTTTGATGTGTCGCTGAAAGCTAACCCCAAAAGAAATATGGGTATTTTCCCCTGATCTTGACTTCTAACGAATTTTCCTTTTTGAAAAACCATGATTTATCAGAAAAGTATAATTTAAAACAGAAATGGTGAAATTAAAATGCGTTTTTGCCACTTTGTACAAATATTTTAGTGTTTGAAATGGGCTAGCTCTCCCTAACCCTAACCCTAAATCTGCTTTGAAAGAGTATTGCAGTATTTGAAGAATTTAGAAACTAAAAGTAAGATATTTAACTGTACAAAACAATATTTCACTGTATTGTTCAGAAATCTAACTTGCATTTCATCATTTGTAACTCAAGTGATGAAATGCAAGTAGTTAAACCTGCACACTGAGTACATGTTTATTGAAAGACGCGTTGAATTATTTGACTATTGCATCTCTTACAGCAAGAGCTGTAAAAGATGCAATAGTTAATAAATTTCTGTTTTCTAAATTTGTAACTGGAACAACTTCCTCCACTATTTTTCTTCTTTTTTTTAGTATGTTTTTACAGCTTAGTCCAGTGTTCAGCAAACTAAACACTAATAAATATCATAAATCTTTTCATGTCAATGTGTGTCCTAATGTGAGTTAAAAGTTATTAAAAGCTAAAACTGTTGAAAGCTCTGTAAAAATGTTAGTCTTTTCTTGGCTGGACCTGAACCGTGAAGAGTCATTGTTCCTAAAATGTGTCAGTCACACTTATGTCATACTTGAATTTAAAGACAACCAATCGTTTTAAAGGAAAGCAAGGTTTACATAAGAAAATGACTAAATGAGCTGCTTTTGATTAGGTGGTTTTGGGTCACTGGTGCGGTCACAGTCATAGACTCCAGAAACACTAAATAAAAACGTCTCATAAACAGACTGGCTAAAACCAAACAAGTAATCCTGCTGCAATTTCCTAACTGGGCCTCAGCCAACAGAGCTGTTCTGGTTCAAAACTTGTGCCGAAATTAGAATCCGATTATTTTAGTCTCCAAAAAGTACAGTCCGGAGCAAAGACCTGTCATATGAGAGGTTGCTGTGTGGCTGCGCATGAAGAAAAACTCGTTCCTAATGGTGTTTACATGAAGACAAACTGAATGAGCCAAATTACAAACATTAAATGACAGTTTTCTGAAAAGGCTTAATAAATCCTGCATTTGCTATTATGATAAAGGAGCTTCCATCATTGTCATCAGCATCTGGAGTGCTGGTGCTTGTATGAGGTGCAGGCATCCACTGCAGTGAGATTCAAAGATGCCTAATATACATAATATGTTAGAGGTATGCAAAGTGGAAATTCATGACACAGCCAAAAAATGTTGCAGTAGTATTCGATATCTAGCCCAACAACGAGCACAATACCCCAAATTCCTCTGTCACTGAACTAAAACAATCTTTTTTAAACATTATTGGTCTGGTTTGTTCTCAAAAGGAATGCCATAATTGTGCCAAATACAAATCCAATAAAGATGAAGAAGGTGTGGACAGAAGCGGTAAAATGTATTCACTAAAAGGTATTCTTAGAGTTTTGAGTTTAAAGTGCCTCATAGATCGGGTAAGAAGTCTCCATCACATCTACATACAAACATCTTAACAGTTTGCAGGACTTTCATTATATAATGTAATAGTAATCCTCGAAATATTTGATGTTTAATCACAACAAAACAAAAACAAACAGTTATGTGACAGACCAATGCAAAATATAGAAGGATTTGGAAAGGGGAAGGCAATGACTTGTAGAGTTACTTTGCATTGCATTGCAGCTACGGCTGCCAACGTCTTGTTTCTAGCTGCTCCGTTGGATCAGATTTAGTGTTATCATTAATATTTAGATTATCAATGAATTGTTGAATTAATTCAACAACTGTGTTTGAATTAAATGCCAAATATTAGCAGAATTTGATTTGTTTTGAGGTATCAAATTAAAGCTGGCTAAAAACATATACGCACCACATTTTTTAGATCTTAAAATTGGGATTTTAAGTGCATCTTAAAATCCCAATTAAGCTACACTGAAATTCGTGGCTACGATGTCGCATAATGTGGGAAAAGTCCAAAGTGCGCATACCCAAGACACAGATTGTTTATGCCTGCCTGAGCCTCACCTGTGGGCTGATGCTGGGGCCGTAGCCCATGCCAGGTGAGTTCATGGAGTGCGGCCCCATAGGGGAGCTAATGACCGAGAAGGGTGAGGTGAGGCCGTTCATTGGTGAACTCAGGGTGCTGATGGGAGAATGGAGAGAGCCGGAGGGGCCCATGGAGGTGGGGCTCAGCAAAGAGGGATGCATTCCACGATGGGAAGTTGGAGAGCCTAAAGGTGAGGAGGTCACCTGTCCTGAAGAATCTGGTTGGAAAAAAAGAGAGAAGGTTAATTAATGAACATCAAAGAATCAACAGCATTTTAGTTTTGAGGTTTTATAAGCCCCACAGCTCCATAAATGCATATTTTCTCATGAAACCTTAATGATCTGTTTTCAAGAGCACCCTCAGAAGATAATTACAGCTTTTCTTGACCACAGCTGTTAGCACCAAAAGTCTAGCACATCTGCTAAAGTGTGAAAGCAGGTGTCAAATCTGGGCACTGTCCAGGAAAAAACGGACAATTTAGCAACAAAAAAACAAAAAAAAAAACACCTCAAACTATTTCAACAAGATTAGTTCAGAGAGGAAAAAAAGAGCTCAAGCTAACACGAGGGCCAAATGGGAAATGGCGATGTCGACACAGTTGCTGTGCTGCTTTCTCTGGTTCTGTCCCTCAAACTTCAAAAGTGCTTCCCCCAGGAATGCAGGAGGTCAGCATGCAGAATAAACCTACTGTATAATGCATGCGGCCGATGAGTGGGGCAGTAAACTTGAGAGAACGGAAAAAAAAAAACATGACCTTGCACCACAGCCCAGGAGAAAACCTGCAGCGGGGTTATAAGTCACAGACGGCAATGAAGCTAAGGTCGTGTATGCAAGAGCTCATCTGACTTCAAAAACTCCACTTCTCTTTGACTTAGGCTTTACTGAGCTGTCATCACAGAGATCTAAGACAGACAGAAACATGAGCAAAGACACGTTGATAATAAGAGTTTTGGAACAGGGTTTGAATTCTTGTTGATAGAGACGATTTTCTCTTTTGCCTCTTTCGGTGCTGCAGTTTCCCGAACTACGATCTTTCCTCCCAGTCTCCATAAATTTTCCTAAAGCAATTTACTGGTAATGTTAATCTTGCAGAAAAGTAAATATTTATTGATGTTTTGCTTAAATTTTGAGGTGTAATAACAACAATTAAATTTTATTTGAGACATCCAGTGAGTGAGAAAGCTCCTCACATGTGAAACATTTTATTCAATTAGATGATAAAAGAGAAGCAAAAATTGAAATGACACCACTGTTAATTCTTATATTATTACACATAAGACTTTTGATATGCATTTGACACCAGCATACACCATGTAATCCCTAAATGATCCAAAAATAACAAAGCTTTATCTCCTGCTGTATTATTTTGTTTGCACTGATGAGGTTAAACTCACCTTAAACCGAAAGTGAAACTGATAGCATGACCTATTTTCTGTTTAATTTGATTCGCAATCATCTGATCACTTTAAGTTTGTAATAGAGAACAATTTCTTCTTCAAATGGTCAGTAAAATCTTGCATACTAACCCAAAAGTGATATTCCCCATCCAGATGCAGCAGAACATTGTAAATGCCACACCTTTGGCACAATACTAAAGCCGTGTTCAGGACAAAAGCACAGGAAAAGTGACCCGTGTGCTTCAAAGTTGCTGCAGGACACAAGGTTTCAACGATTCCTCATGTTCAGAAATACGTTAACAACCTTTTTCAATATGCAGGCAGATGTGGAAAGACAGGAAACAGCTACTCACGAGAAAAATCTGAGTAATCTAAAACTGGTAGTAGAAGATTTATAATGACCATTGAATATAGCTGGCCAAGAAAGCTGCAGCTGTTGCATCTGTGTCATAAACATACGGGTAGCATTTCTATCATACGCACACGTGTAATAATTTAGTGGCTTCTCCAGCTTCACTCAACAGAACAAACGTAAAAAAACAAAAAAAACAGTGGATCTATCCTACGTCTATTGCCTGATCCATGTGTCGTACGAATACATGGACACAATCACAATAAGTGGAAGACAAAAAAAAAACATTCCTAAAGCCTAACAACTGCTCTGCACATTCACAAATTAGTTCAGTCTGTAATCTCCAGACTGATACATCATGGACTTCTATCTATCTGATTACTTTTTCTACTGTTTCTAGAATGTGCCCGCCCACATAATTCCTGAAAAACATTAAATAAATAAATAAATTGAAAATAAGTCTCTTTCCGAACCAGCAATTCCCACAGCTGTTCCTCCAATTGGGTTTTAATTCAGGCAGATAAAGTGAGCTGTGGTATTAGGGTTGCCAATCCACCATTGTACAGCTCAGCAGGAGATCGTGTGTGTGTGTGTGTGTGTGTGTGTGTGTGTGTGTGTGTGTGTGTGTGTGTGTGTGTGTGTGTGTGTGTGTGTGTGTGTGATGAGCTGGGGAGTGGGAGGGCTTAACTGACAGCAAGGCTCCACCTGAAGGGGGATGACAGAGACGAGCTGGGAGGTAAAGCCGGCTGCTTATGTCTCTTTCTCTTATGTTTTTCTTTTCTGTTTATTTAGTTGAGTAAATAACTTTTCTGTGTGACATTATGTCACAGTGTGATACAATTTGGTGTGGATTATCTAGTTTGGTAAAACCTCCCAGTTCAGAAAGCTTTCTCAAAGCAAATTATGCTTGCATGCTCTTGTGTGTGCGTGTGTGCTTTTGTCTTGTTAGACATGGGTAAACGGTGTCGGATTACAGCTGGATATAAAAGGACTCTGTCCTAATCCTTGAAAAACTACTCATTTTTTCTCATCTCCAAATTCCCCCTTTTTTTTCTGAATGAAACATCCAGAGTTGTCTGGATATTTTTAGTATAAATACAAAGTTTATTCTGGATTAATGGCAAAAAAAAAAAAAGCTGATTCAGGGTTCAAAGGAAGGTTTTAAATATAGAACCAAAATGAAATGGCTGGAATAATGGCGCAAAAATATACAAAATGAACAAATAAGTAAATGGATGAATTGTACTACACAGGCCCGCCCTGGCAAATATTTTAAGGAATTTTCAAAATAGCAAAAATACCTTGAAGTGCATGATAATGAACAAAAGAAAGGCTGAAAAGACATGAAACTAGAACAGCATGTATAAAATAACCAAATACACAAGGGAAGTAAAGAAGTAAAGAATCCAGCGTTGTAGGACTAAACTGTTCGTTCCTGCGTTGTTATCACATCTCGCAGGTCTTACAACAGTCTTGAGAACTCAACATTTCTGGGATCAATTTGCTTCATTTCGCAAGCAGCATAAAATAAACTTTCAAAGATTAGATAAAAGCTTAAACAAATTACTGAACATAGGCAGGGCAGATAAGACTGCTGCAAAAGCATCTATAAATATGAGCGACATCTGCCCAAGTCCTACAAGTGTCAGATTAAAAAAAGCTGATTCAGGGTTAAATACTCGCAGAAAAAGTCCTTGTCGCCTCCAGCTGCTGCCTGTCAATTGCTCCAAATTGCTTGGCACATTAAAGCAAAAGTGACAGCTACAAATAAGCAAATTAGGGCCCAATCTTCCTGGCAGGAAGAGACGAGAGCTCCCCCACTTATCGGCTCTCCTCTTCATTCAAGCATCTCCCGTTTCTAAACAATAGTTCCCTTCCTCCTTTGTTCTGTTTTTTGGATGTGATTCCATGGCGGGAAACTGCCAGTTCAAGCACTGGCTCTCGCAGGCTTATGTGTTTAGAATGTTATAAATGGATGATGCAGATGAGAGCAGTTAGTGAGATGAAAAAGAGAAAGCGTTCCACGCACAAACAGATTCGCGTGGCATTTCTTCCTACGCTGGAGACAACTTGTTTACATTCTTCGGCTGGAGTGAAACTGATGTGATAGAGATTCATGACAACTTTCCAGAAAAATGACACTTGCACAAAGCTCTTCAGGTTTGGGTGGAATGAAACGGAAGGGATTGTCATGACACGGCACGAGTTTTACTGTAGAAACCTAAGAATGGCTGCAGGACACGAGTCTAGCATAAATTCTCCTTTCTAGAAATATTTTGAGCTTTGCTTGTCCAAACATAGCCGACAGCTTTGATATGTTGGTGGTGGATGTTGCAATTCTATTTATGTTGTAAAATGCACACAGCATGTGCTTTGCAAACTAGCCTTTGTGGCCACATGTGTGCTATATATCTGACTCACAATAGTTGTGGTGGTTAGCTGTGGACAGCTAAAATCCACCATTCAAAAAAGGCTTACAACTGGGTATTTTAATTGTTCAAACAACAACTATGCCTTAATATGCATAAATGCACAAAGTGGAAACTATTTCACTGTTATCACAGAGGCTAAAATCTACAATTTTTCTTATCTGCAGACAGTCAGGAAAAACAATATCAGTCCAGGATATGGAGCTACATTCCACAGGAACAATTATTATTGGCCATTACAAAAAAAGTTAGAAAAAAATCTCATGTAAATGTTGGCACAAGCTGTTATAGCTAAACAACAAACATGTGCTCTATAGAGATAAGACAAAACTGTTGCAAGACTTCAAATGATCAATTCTGCTTGAAATATGCAAAGAAAAATGTGTAACAGCTGCAGTCTGTCAGTGTATTGCAGTGATAGATCCTAAAAGGCTTGCACCTCTATGCAGATCACACTTTTAAGATTTGTATTTGCAAAAAAACAAAAAACAAAACCTATTTTAAAACATCCTTTCAGTTAGCAGTTAGGTACTACCTTTTGTTGGTCTATTTCTCAAAATCCCAATGAAACACATAAAAAAAATGTCAATAGTGGAACATTTGCAAAGTTCTGTAATAAAGATAATTAGTTAGGTTAGATTTTCCTGCTAAAATATTTGCTCAGTTGACGTCATCAGCACTAGAAAAAGAAGAGATATTGTTCACTATAAAAGGCACAGATTCTGCAGAACTCTGAAGAATCAAGGCTGAATTTTTTATTGAGCCCATAAGCTGGAGTTGTCTTTGCCATCAGCATTATGAAAAGAAAGGATGCAAAAACCTTCATATGATAGCTTGATCTACTCTAAAAGCAGCAGAAAAAAAGAGTGTGTATCTTTATCCTGCTTTTAGAAATGACAAATGTAGCTCATAACAGCTAAATCTTCACTTTGCTTCTGGTGACTCTGAGTTTCTTTTCTTAATAATAATAAAAAAAAGAACATTTATAACCTTGAGTAGATACAATTGTTTCTTGCTTGAAGGCCAACTTCTCTTCCTC